CATATATCAATGCAATATTATCAAATTTTCTATACGAGTAAATATTTAAAGCATCCATAAAAATCAATCAAAGCCAATCTCTATTATATATAGGGAAGGGTTGTATAGCTTCCCGTGCGGTTGTGCGGTTAGATCTGAGTCGTTGATCAAATTTAGATCAACGACTCAAATCAATGAAAATTAAAAAAAAAAAAAAAAAACGCGCGCATGTTTGGAGGAAATATGCATTAGCTAAAAATGGCGCACCTTAAGTGATAGAAACACGCACCTTAAGTGTTAGATCTTAAGCACAAACTCACACACATTAAGTACAAAACCCACACACATTAAGCACAACCTCACGCACATTAAGCACAAAACCCATGCACTTTAAATATCAACTCACAGACTTTAAGTTTCAACAACTACTGACATCAAGCACAAACTCACGCACATTAAGTACAAAATCGACGCACATTAAGCACAAAACCCACGCACTTTAAGTATTAACTCACAGACCTTAAGTTTCAACAACTACTGACATTAATCATTAACCTCACACAAATTAAGCACAAAAGCTACGCACATTAAGCACAAAGTCCACTCACATTAAGAACAAATCTCACGCACCTTAAGCACAAAAGTCCACACTTTAAGTTTTTACAACTACTAACGTTAAACACAACCCCACGCACATTAAGCACAAAACTCACGCACCATACGCACAAACCTCACTACACGCATCTTATATACAAAACTCACGCACATTAATCAAAGATCCGCTCACCTTAGTTTTGACCTAGATGCAAAAATTACAAAATTACCACCACATTTTTTTTTTAAATTTTGGCAATCCTGAACGTTGATTTAAGCGAGATGAATGGCCTAGATTAAACCGTACAACCGCACCTGGGCACGCTAACCGCACCAGAACCTAATTATATATATATATATATATATATATATATATATATATATATATATATATATATATATATATATATATATATATATATATATATATATATATATATAATACCTACAAGCTACAGTAAATTAAAGAAAAAATAATTCTAAAATAGGTGGTTGAATGGGTGGAGCAAAATTCTCATATTAAAAGGTCATGGATTTAATTATTATCAGCACTCTTTCAATTGAATTCATCACCTTAAGGCAATTTATGTTTGGGACTATTATACAAGCATTAAATTTATTCTTGTATGCAGAGCTCCCTTTTTACGAAAAGGAAAAAAAAATTAAATTAATTAAATCCATTTTTTTAATTCTCTATGTGGATCAAAACTGTCATTTTGCTAATATTTGTGGAACCAAAATTAGTATTTGCTCAATCACAAAACATACCTTGGAGTTGTGGAAAAGTCAAATCGGCCAATTCTTTGGAACCCCCCAATGAGCACTTCTCATGAAAAGGATAGTCAAGTGAATGGAGTATAAATTTTTTACTTAAAAGTTAATAATTTAATTATTATCAATACCCTCTCATACTATATATTACAGACGAAGACCAAACAAAGAAAAATTTCTCAAAAAAATTTGACTTCATTTTATATTTTAGCCTGTTAAAATTTAAAAAGAAAATTATCAGGTACTGAGGTACTTCTAACTACGCCTACAACGAGGCTCAAAACCTAGACCTCCCACATAGGGGAGCAATCCGATACCAATGGACCACAAGCCACTTGACTATAATCCTTATCAAGGCATGCTCGACTACTGCTTACGACTCTCCGTCTCCGCCTCCTCCGCTGTTCATGCTTTCTCGGACTCGGATTGGGCCGGCTGCCCCCAGGATAGGAAGAGTATGAGTGGTTATGCTGTTTTCATTGGCACTAATCTCATTTCGTGGCTATCTAGAAAATAACGTACGGTCGCCCGCTCATCAACTGAATCCGAATACAAAGCCCTCGCTGATGTCTCGGCCGAGGTCACATGGGTTGTCTCTCTCCTACGTGAGCTAGGTCTTCACTCTGGCGAACCGTCTACTCTCTAGTGTGACAATCTGGGCGCCACCTACCTGTGTGCTAATCCCGTTTTTCACGTCCGGACCAAGCATGTCGAGATTAATTTTCACTTCGTCCGAGATAAGGTTGCCTCTGGTGAATTGGTGGTCAACTTTGTGTCTACGAAGGATCTGCTGGCCGACATCTTCACCAAACCGCTACCTGGGCCGCGGTTCGCTTTGCTACGTGACAAGCTCAATGTGGTTGCTTACCACCCTTGTGCTTGAGGGGGTGTGTTAACCATATTATTATTATTGTTATTATTATCTTTGATTTGACTAGTTTTGTAGTAGGTTTATTTTATATGGTGCTCCTGTTAGATAGGATAGTCTTATTTTAGTTGTTATTGCTTTCATATTGTAACTCCTATCCTATTGGGATTGAATGATCAGAATAGTTATCTCATCGACACTAGTTACCAGTTATCACACGCGCATTGTGCGAATAGATTAATGTCTAATGTGTATTATTAAATTAATATTATCCCGTCATATATCAATGCAATATTAACAAATTTTCTATACGAGTAAATATTTAAAGCATCCATAAATATGACCGATGACAAAAATGTTTGATTAACCGGTGCAATGACAGTTTTAGAGGGAAACACACTCGCTGAATAGTACTCAAGCATAATTTGTGCAACACAGAACCCTATTAATTTTGGCGTGATCCATGTGTCTCTTGTTGCCTCTTCCAACATAAATGAATTCTTGATTACTTAAACAAAGTTCATGTTAAATTATTTTATATTGATAGTTGAAAGACCGTGGGTGGGTGGTTAAAATTTGACAGTTGAAGGACCATGGGTGGTGGTTAAAATTTGATAGTTGAAGAACCATGTGTGGTTAATTTGGACCACGGATGATAATAATTTAAAAATTGAATGACCATGGATGATCAATTTGAATGTTTAAGATTAAATATGACAAAATTACTATATCCGGAGGACCATAGATGCTATTAACTCTGTTTTTGTCAAATACTTGTGTCGTAATAGTTTTTATTTTTGGAGATCAATTTAGTGATTTTCTTGTGGGCTTACCAGTGTTGGGCTGTCTAGAATTTTTGTTTCTGACATTTCTGACATTCATTTTTCATGTGGGCTTACCAGTAATGTGTGTGTGTGTGTGTGTTTTTTTTTTTTTTTTTTTTTTTTTTTTTTTTGAATAAACCAGTAATGTGTTAATAACTTAATATTAGATGGTTAGAAAATATGTTTGATGTCAATCAAATTATTTATAAGAAGATTGTGGCTAAAATGTTTGAGGTTGAGGTAAACAAAAATATTTCAAAATATATATGAGAGGTTATAAATGAATACTAATATACTATATTGTATTTTGTAATCAAACTATTAACTATTTTAATTAATAGTGATATTCTTTGTTTAATACTTTTTGACACCTTTAGACGAAAAAATCATGTCTCAGCTCCGACACTTGAGTTTTCTCTTATTCTACAATATATATATACGCGCGTGCGTGCGCACACACACACACACACACACACACACACACACACACACACACACATATATATATATATATATATATATATATATATATATATATATTTACATTAAGTAATTGAGCCATTTTTAATTGTATTTTTCATTATAAATATGTAATTGTTGCTGAGTAATGGCTTTGGTCGAGTTGAGACTCGAGTTTTATTCAAGTTTTAGTCCAATATAAGTCTTTTTTCACAGATAAATTTTAGATTTGACTATGACATTAGATTGGTCTCAAACCAGACTTAAATTTTGCACTTTATTATCACTAATCACTTGATGTTTTGTTCATCTTTGTGTTTTACTTATCATAACAAGTCAATTATTTTCAATACTTATTAACATTATAGTCAAATTTGAATTTGATTATCCAACTACCAGAATATTTTTTGTCTCAACAGTACTAAATAATATGAGTCGTGACATTCTTATATTTATTAATATTCATATAATTATATAAAATTCTGTATAAAATACTGGTTGGACCACGTAATACATTCATATATATATATATAAGTATTTTCTTGGTTAACATCATCATTGACAACCAAATTAAAATCTGTGATTATCATATCAACTTACCACTTGTCTCCTACTTGCTATACAACACTTGTCACATTCATTGATTAACAGATATATATACCTATCATATTCCCTGCATTTAGGAATCATAATTCACCAAGTTAACAGAACACAACAGCCCCACCATCTTAACAAAATATGTTTTCTAAACATTTGTGATGCTATTTAATTTAAATTATTCATTTATTTAATCCAAACTCACCCTCAAAAGACATAGTCCCTCGTCTCAGGACCTCACATAATTGTAAAGGGATAAATCGCAGTGACATAGTGACCTATAAAAAGACTAGTGTCTGATGTCCACATAGTTGTCCAGACTCAATCATAAATCCTCACTATCAATCTATCACCAAAGTACCAATTGTTGATTTATTTTCATCCCAACCTACCAACTAAACAAAGTATATATACTCGGCCTCCTGGATAATGATTCAATGGTTGAGAAATTGCATTTAAACTCATCTCCGATTATAGAATCAGAATTTGAATCACAATTTTAAGTGAAGTGAAAATAAAATCGTTTCTAACAACATAGTGAAAATTTCAATCATAATCTAAAATGGAGCGGAGACAAACCCGCTTCCCACACAACAGAGCGAGAACATAAAGGTACAGCTATTCAACAACTTCATTATACTATATTTGAGTAAACAATAAAACAACTCACTATATACATCATATCTGATAATATTAATTTTCCCTTTTTTAGATGAAAAATGTTTTTGTGTTTTGTAAATTAAACCTTAAAAAGGAAAAAAAAAAAACAAAAACAAGAAACAAAAAGGAAAAAAGTACTGTAATATTCTTTGCAGTTTGCACTTTCCGCTGTAAAATAAAGGGGAAAACACAAAATAAATTAATTACTACTTCACTTTAAAATATTAATTAAAATTTTTGAAATTAAGTTAGTAGGCCCCACGGTTGATCATCTCCATGTGCTGCTGTATTGACTGTTCCCTCTGCAACCTCATCTCCTCGTTGAACTTCTTGATGAACGCTTCCACTCGCCGGTTCAATTCGTCCTGACTCAGCGACGGCTCTTTCCTGGCCTTCACCGGCGGCAGCAGCGCCGCCGCCTTCGGCGAGTCGTAGTTGGTCCGGTCCTTGAACGTCCGCGACTTGAGCGCGTCTCGGTCCTGCGGCCGAGGATACGGAGGAGCGTGATTCTCATTCTCGTCGGCGGAGGCGTTCTCGAACGAGTCGGACCGCCTTAGCTGTATCGCCGGCGTCAGGAGGTGGTTCCTTTCGGTTATCATTCTCCACGTGTTCTCCAGTGTCTCGTGCTGTTTCGGCCTCGCCGGCAACCTCAGACCTTCAAGGCCGGCTTTCGGCGGCGGTTTTTGGTCGGCGAGTGATAATTTCTCAGCCGCAGCCCACCGGAAAAGTCCGGTTTCATCTCCCAGCGGCGGAGCGACGACGGCGAAATTAGAATACTCGCCGGCGCCGCCATCATCTTCACTCACAGCTACAATAGAACCGTTCACCTCCGGTTCAAAATCCGGTTTGAGCTCCAGCTGAGCAACGGCCACCAGACGGTTCAAGTCCGGCGAGGGAGGAGTCCTGGCGGTTACTAACAACCTCCGAAATTCTCGGGGATGCAGTTGCGTCTCATCATCTTCAATACTCTCCCGTTGGAACCGAGAGGCGAGAACGATGGTGACGATGATAACGTTAATGGCGACGTAAAGGTACAGCGGCTTGAGGCGCGCCGTGAACCCGGTCCAAACCGCCGAGAGATCATGCACGAGAACCGGAACGCCGGCTCTCATCGCCATGGAAACCGACACAGCTCCGGCGGAAATCAACAGAATCTTCAGATACCGAATCACTTCGCTCGTCTCTATCGTCATTTTTCTTTCCTTTTTCTTTCCTTTTTCTTTTACACTCAGAAACCAGTGAATGAAAGCTTAATGGAAATGGCGATGAGGGTATCGAAAGCTAAGCATGGAAGTATATATATAAGCCATGATGAAATCTGGGCCGTTTAGGAATGGATCATTTGACATGGATCGGGTCGGGTTAATCTGCAAGACGTAGAAGCGCCATTTGTACAACAATTGTACGTAGTAGAACTCGGATGGGCCCACGTGTGGGGTCAACGAGTAATTGTGGTTGTTGACTTGTTTTTAAGGATAAGGTCATTTCCTTAGCGCGGTAATTCATTCTATTTAAGGATAATGCTAAACATTAAGAAAAACAATTATGTATATAAGTAAATTTTGTGTTGAAAGTTTTTAACAAAGAGAAGAATTTAATCTCTAAAATCCATATTAATCACGTAAAAATTTGGTAAAACTAGGTGATATTGTTAAGAGTTCTTGCGTTAAGATTACGTTACAAGTGAAAAAAATTTTAAAAACGGAAGTATTAAAGTTTTTAACAAAAATAAGAATTTAATCTCTAAAATCAGTACTAATAAAGTCAAGATTTGATAAAATAAAATAATGTAATTTATGTGACATTATTAAGAGTTCACGCGTTAACATTACGTCACAAGTGATAAATTTTTAAAAAAGGAATATAATATGGGTTCTTTAAAGTCTTAGATTGCACAAATCTCTTTTAAAGACTTATTTTTTGAGTGATTCAAAAATTATGAATTCCCAAATCTAATGAATTTTATTACTTTAACCCAACATAATTTATTTGATTAGTTAGTAGGTTTACACCGGCCACAACTTAAAAAGCTTGGTTGCCCTTCATTATTACTTTATAGTTTTTGTACATAAGTAAATCACATGCATGATATGTCTTAATGTCATTATATTTGTCGAAATGTTTCTATATTAGTGTTCCGCACATTATGATAGTCAACTAGACAGATTATCAATTTTACTTTAAATTGGTCGGTCAATTAAATTGTGAGTATAATATTTGTTAAAATGCTTCTATATTGGTGTTTCGCGCATTATGAAAGTCAACGAGACAGATGGTCAATTTTACTTTAAGGGTCTGTTTAGAAATCCAGAAAATGATTTCTGGAAATCATTTTCTGGGTTTTGGGTGTTTGGCTAGGTTGGAAAATGAATGGTCAAAGGAAAATGAAGAGAAGTCAATGGAAAATTAGTCCAAATTTTCGAAAAATGACTTCCCTTTTATTTGGGGAAGTAATTTTCCATCTTCACCACACTTGCTTCACTTCAGCTCCTCCTCCTCCTTCAAAGCATAGAGAACTCCACCAACAATATTTTCGGCGGAAACCATAGCTGTGGTTTCCGCCGGAAACATTAAAAAAAAAAAAAAAAAAAAAAAACGAGAACAAGAAGAAAACTTTTTAATAATTAAGATTATTTGATTTAAAAAAATAAATATTATTATTATATATATTTTTTTTATTTTAAACAAAATAATTAATTACGGAGTATATAAAATATTTAGTTATACAATTCTATCTTATTTTTCAGAAAATGAACCAAACACACAAACACTGTTTTCTGCCGCAAACACAAGAAATGAAAATATTTTTCAAAAAATGACTCATTTTCCAAATCATTTTCCTGCTTTTCAAACCGACCTAAGTTGGTCGGTCAATTAAATTGCGAGTATAGTTAATCACTATTATCGAGGTGGAGTTGTGGTGGCAAAATCATTCTAGAACTGCCAGCTAGATCAGCTAGTATACAATACACTCTGGACTTCCCAGATGCCATTTCTGTCTCTCTTTTTCTTCTTCTTTTTCCCCAGAGAGTATCAGTGACTATTTTACTCTGCAAATTGGCACTGGGAAGTGACCACAACGGTCAAATTTCTCAATTGACCGTTAGCAGCGGCGGAAGCTTTTTTCACCGGCGGAAAGTGATGCCAGTAAGGTGGTGGCTCCCCTGCCCCACTCCAGCTGGTTGTGGTGGCTCCCGTTGCCGACCACTGGCTTTTCATCGGAGAGCGATGCTAATTTTTTTTATAATGGAAAAAGACTCTGGAGAAAGTAACTGATCATCAGAAAATGTTACTTGCATATTTAGACAAATATAACTCTCACGTAAAGTGACAAAATGTAATAGAGATTGGCTTTGATTGATTTTTATCAAATTTTATCATGTTGGAGAAAATGTATATCAGAATGATTATAATAGAGACGAAAATTATATAGTTTCATATGTTCGTGGTTGTGTCCCACTGCCCACAAGTAACAACTGGCATGAGAGCTAAGCTACTGAAGTTTGAAAATGAATTGAACTATATATTTAGTTAAATGCAATGCTGAAAATTTTGAAATTTCCGACCACCTGAAAATGATCTTAAATCAAGTCGAAAGTCTTGTTCCGACCACTTTTGATATCCGAAAAAATCTTCGTTGCTATTTCCGACCACTTTTTGCTTTCGAATTGATTTAAGATCATTTTCAGGTGGTCGGAAATTCCATAATATCCAACAGTGATGCATTTTTCATGGCTTAATTAGCATCCCTTAATTATAATGCTATTTAGTTACAGATTGAGTGGGTGAACATGATTGTCGTACTTAATGATTACGAGTTCGATCTTGTCAACATCTATCACAAGTAAATTTTATTTTTGTTTAAATCTTGTACAATAAATTTAACCAAAATGATATTGACAAGAATTAAATTGATGATTTTCAAACATGAGAATCATATTCTATCTACCTGACCGGAAGCTTTTTAATTCTTTAAAGAAATACTTATAATTATACTGTCTGTCGGTCTGTTTGGAAATTTCTAATGGGCCATGAAGGAATTGACTAATGATGGAATAAGGGAATATTAGAGCCGTTTATGTTACTTTTTCATTAGCTTTTTCATGGTTTTCTTAAATGAATTTTTTACTATACTTTATCTTAACTATTAAGGTTGATATGATGACAATAAAGGTATCCAAACTATATATATATTCCCTTTTTGAATTTGTTAGGTAAAACAACCTAAGATATCCTTTCAAAAAAAAAAAAAAAAACCTAAGATATAATATAACAACATAATAACATTTAAGATTCTATGTTTTATTTAAATTAAGGTCAAACTTAGGTTCTAATATTATTCATGCATTATTGATTGTTGTTGGAGTTTCTAATCGCACTTCATTCGCGGTATGAATGTGAGCACTGTGTTTGCATTTTTGTGCATGTCAATTTATATGAAAACTCCAACTCTTAACTATTGAGACATTCGTATTTGATTTTTTAATTTATATGAAAACATGCATGAACTTTTAAAAAATTATATTCTCGATGATGAATATAGTCCTTTTAACTTAATGAAAGAATCAGTTAAATATCAACATTTATTATTAAGTGACAAAAGCTCAACCATCGGTTATATAACATGTGAATGGTTATTTTATATAACTTTCTGCAAGCTAAGAACCTACCTATATGTTTGCAGAGACATTATTCTTTTAAGATTTTTCTAAAAGTGTCAGTGTGAGAAACAGAATGAAGGAGTTCAGAATTCTTCATTGAAATGAAGATCTCTTTGAGCCTTAACTCGTCAATAGGAAGGATGGAAATGAGGTACAACGGTTAAAGAGTGGTCAGGAGGGTTTAAAAGCGCATTTTAAACCCTCCTAGATGTGTGTATGTGTTTGGTCATTTTAACTAAAATTTCTACAATCATAGTTGTAAACGAGACAATAGATAGAAACTCTAAACCAATTTTTTTTTTTTTATTAGATCATGAGATTTCTTGAGCAGACCCTAATTGTAGGAGCCACCTTTAAGCCTATACCATACCATACGAGCATACCCTAACTGTAGGAGCCATGCTCAAACTAATCCACGTTCGCATCGGACTGGCCCAATTAAAGGGTAAAGTACTGGCCAGATTGATTATTCCATACAAAAGGGGATTAAAATCGCGACCTCTCTTACAGGATGACAGTGCATAGCCACTCAGGCCAACTAAGTTAGTTAAAATTAATCTAAATTAGAGCAATCTAGATCATACAATTAATAACAACCGTAACGTGTCCTCATAGAGTCATGATTAATTCAGTCAAGTAATAGCACGGTGGAAGAAGACCGTCGTCGGTCGTCGGACTGTACCACCGCCCTTTTGCTAGGTCTTTGCCACATTGTACAGTCTCTAACCCTCATACTACGGCACTATTTCATGGATTATATATATATTATTTATTCAATTGTATTGGTTCACAGTCTAATAATCTTTAAAAAAAAAATTGATATAACTCGGCTTGGATTGATTATTTATATTATTGGCCTTTACCTACTTGTAATTTTTATTATTTTTTATTAAAATTTATGTGATAAATGATACTTTTCGTTCTTAAATTATAGAAAAATAATACTACTATTTTATATTATTTAAGTATATTATACTCACTTTTCGTCTCTCAATTGTATGCGATTTTTTTTTCATCTATCAAATATATATCTACAAAGTGGCTTTTTATTTTAAACTTAATCATAATAAAATTTAGGAATGGAAAATTTTACTTTGCAATGTAAACAATTAAGTAGATGAAAATTTGTGATTGTATAATTCATGAGAAAAGTAAAGTATCATTTTATTTACAATTTTCTCTATTTATTTAATTGTCTAATGGCGTAATGCATGCATGTATTTGATTAGTATATATATATAGAAAGGAATAAAAAAAAAATTTGGATGACAATATAAATATGCAGCCATCACTAGGTGAACTTTGCAAGCTCTTCTGCTCTTTTCTAATAGCTCGCAAAACTATACATTAGAGGGAAATCACAAAAAAAAAAAAAAAAAAAAGAAGAAGAAGAAGATTCTGAACATGTGAGTTTCTGATACGAAAATTGTGTTTCACCCAACCGACTACACATTTTTGGCTTTATAAAATTATTTTGAACATATATATTAAAAGTGTTGATGAAGAATAATTTATAAGCTTAACCTACCAGA